ACAGCGCGCTTGCAGGGATGGATTTATGTGAATATCACTGACTTGAAGGGAGAGCGAGAGAGGAGGATCAGTATTAGGAGGAGGAAAGACAAGGAGTTCAGTTTTAGAGAGATTGAGTTTCAGAAAGCGTGAGGACATCCAGTCAGAGATGGAAGAACGGCAAGCAGTGACACGTTGCAGGACGGCAGGGGAGAGATCCGTGGAGGAAAGATATATCTGAGTGTCATCAGCGTACAGGTGGTAGCGGAATCCAAAATATGTGTATTTTATATCAGTAAAAGCAAACAGAATTATGACATTCACAGTTAAAATGTCATACAGAACTAAACAAAATAACATTTCTTAATTTCTCAATTTTTTTATATTTTATTCTGATTAAATTATGTTTTAGAGCTAAATATTTGATGTTCAATGAAAGCTCTATTTCTCCTGAATAAAATGATATATAAGTGTGGGTGCACTTAATATGAAAGAGGTGAATTATGGTTGAACAGACATATAGTCAAATTCCAAGTTTTGTTTATGTTTTATTTTGATCAAAACGTGTACATTTGGCTCCGTCCTTAACCCCTTAACGCCGAATGACAGACCCGGACGTCGTGCCGGGGAAGCAGTTAAAGCTGGATGACAGACTGGGTACGTCATGCGCTTAAGTTAACCTCAGATCGCAGGGTTAATGCTCTTCCAGTTTGCCTCGGTATTCTAGGCAGACCGGGAGTACCCGATCACGCAGTCCCTGCAGCAGTAATCGCTCAAACAGGCTGTTAGAGCGTGCACATGTGCTGCAGGGTCTCACGATCCGCTCACTGCTCTTCCGTGTTCTGTGTGAAGTGCAGGGAGATTGATCAGCAGTAATCTTATCCCTGTGTTAAAAAAAAAGAAAAAAAAATAGTTTAAAATCCCACTCCCCTTTACCCATTTTAAATAAAAATTAACCCCTTCCCTGCCAATTGATCACTGACTACAGTGACCAACTGGCAGGGACTACGTTTTAATGTTATCTGATTTATTTACTTTTAACCCCTGTTGTTCCAACTTTTATATTTTGTAACCCTCGGGTTAAATTTATTTTATTAATTAATTTAAATATATTAAAATGATATAATTTAGCTAGCTTGGGGGGGGTAGAAGTTAGTGGGGAATTTAGTGTTAGGCTAGCTAGGGGTTAACGTTAAAAAACAAGTTTTAAAAAGTTTTAACGTTTAAAAAAAAAAAGTTTAAAAAAATCCCACCCCCCTTTACCCAGTCCTAATAAAAATCTAACCCCTTCCCTGCCAATTGATCACTACCTACAGCAATCAAAATACAGATCACAGTATTATACAGTGATCTTTTTTTTTTTTTAACCCCTTAGGGTTAACTTTTTTTAATCCTCAGGGGTTTCATTTATTTCATTAATCAATTTAAATATTTTAAAATTATATATTTTGCTAGCTGGGGTGGGTGGGAGTTATGGGAAATTGGGGAATTTACTTAGTGCTGCTTACTGCTAGTTAGGGGTTAACAGTAAAAAAGTTTATAAAAATGTTAAATGTTTAAAAAAGTTTAAGAAAGTGTAAAAAATTTAATAAGCAAAAAAAGCTTAAAAAAGAGTTTGAAAAATTAAAAAAAAAATACATTAAAAAAAGCTCATTAACACTACACCTGGAACAAACTAGAGAAAAAAAATGATCCCACTTTAAGGTTCAAAATATGCCTTTTGAATTACCCTGGGGAGTATTCTTTAATAAATAGTATGTGTTTGTTGGGAAGTTTGAATAACCAACCAGCTTAACTACTCCAAAATGGAACATGGACACAGCATAAAACTTCAAAAGTTAGAAAAAAAAAATGAATAGCTGCGTCTCAAATGTGCCCATTCAACATCCTCCTGGCAAAGGTACATTAATAAATGTATTAATAAAGAAAAAAGAGGGATGGAACAGCGCTATTCAATTTGATCACAACAGGGAGGGGGAGGATGCACGCCTGAAAGGAAGGGTAACTCTCAAAACCCTTCAAAGGACTGGAAAAACAGAAAACAGCAAGTACAGGGTGCGCCAAGAACAAAGTAAATAAATAAAATAAATATTAGGAAAAAATACCAGGGAAACAAGCAAATTAAAGTCTCTAGTTCACAGGTATATTCTTCAGAAATTCTCAAGACGTCTTGGGTCAAATCCTCATCAGCATATATGTAAGAAAAAAAACACACAGAGGGGACCAATGGTGCAGTAACTTAAAGGAGAATGTCCACAGACAACACTGAGGTTAAGAAATGCCAACTCACATTAATGGAAACTATAACCAGCTCGAGTTAGAATAGCATATAGTGGTATTTAAGCTCCCCACATGTAGGATATTCCTCTGAAGATATTTTCAGTGCAGGTCATATGAAATAAAAACACAAGAGAAGGCTCATAGTGCTCTCTATATTAAAAAAAGTACTGGATAAAATAGATGTACTTACAATTTACAGAGCAGACAAACTGCTCTGTGTAAAGTGCCTGGGTGGAACACTCCCCACCGTGTATTCTTCAGATGGTATAAAAGCTTCAGATGTTCGGATATGCCAGTAAAAAAATTAGGATAAATATAAAAGTATTTAAAAATTAAAGAGACTCACCAAAATATTAGGTAGTCAGAAAAAATATACTTTTATTTAGATTAAAACACAACGCGTTTCGCCACAAGGGGCTTCTTTAAGTGTACATAATGTTAGCCTGGCACATGTGGGTTTATATAAGGTCCAAACAATCATCAAATTAAAAATGGTGTCTTATTTGACCTTTCTCCCTAAATGAGGTCACATGACATGTATCAAAGGTCAAAGGACATATAAACAGGAAGTCGAAAAACTAAAAACAATAAAAACAATGTTACACAGTAGACTTGGTTAGCGTAAATTTGAGCTGAAAAAAGAGCTCAGTGGACTTATGTACCAAGCAGAATATACCCAACTCCTGAGGGCCGCAAGTTCAAATCACTCCAAGGCAAACAAAAGCAATATACTGGTTATGTTAAGGGAAAAGGGGGGTTTACAAATATTATAATAAAAACAGAATAGAGACAAAGTAAAAACAGAAATAAAAGGACAATAAGGTTAAATATAGGGGTAAAAATATATCATTATGTACAAAATGAGCATATACACCCTATTTCTTATAAAAATAAAACATCATTGACAGTAAGATAAATAATGGAGTAAAAATATATAATTTTGTGGAGAGTAAACATGTACATCCTATTTCGTATAAAAGACACATATATAAAATTTGTTTATTTAATATTTGATCTTTATGATTATAAAAAAAGGGTTAAAGGATAATTATAAAAAGTTAAAAAGGTCAATATCCATATTTAGACCATCTGGGGTTAATGTTTTCAAGTTAAAACCCATTCCATTTTGGTTTTTCCCAATATCTTTTTTATTTCTCCTCCTCTCCATGGGGTTGTGCATGTTTGAATGGCTGTAAATTTTAGATCGCAAGGATTTTCTTGGTGGTCTGTCAGAAAATGTTTGGAAACCGTATGATTTTCATAACCATTCTTGATATTTCTGCAATGTTCGGACATCCTAATTTTTAAACATCTGGATGTCATGCCTACAAATGGTTAGCAAAGATTGGCGATGCAATGGCTACGTAAAAAGTGTCAAACTAATTTAGGTAAATATCCTGTGATGTCTACTTTATTTTAATATATACATTTGTGTGGCAATTGTTTTTTCTGTGATGGCTACTAAACCTACAAGACAAACATACCAACTTCAAAAATTTTTGCAAACTGAAATTTTATTTTAGCCCTTGTATTTTGTGACCTGTAACTTTCAAAATAAGTTGAAATCCTATACACATGATATAAATCAAGACAAACATACATTTATTTTGAATTACTTTTTCTAAGCTGGACATATTATGCACACACTATTATTGCTAAAACTGGAAAAGTTTTTTTTCATTTTTTGGCTTTTTTTTATACTTAATGAGAATATATCTATGTATATGTAACATCAAACTAAAGCCCTGTTTGCCCTCTAAAAAACGGTATATAATATGTGTTGGTGCAATAAATGACAGAGATGCAAATTGCGTTTGAACACAAACAGCAAAAAATGCCAAAATGGGACCTTAAGGGTAAGACAAGCTTCTGAAGCTGTGTCCTTAAGGGGTAAATTCCTGTCTTGCATATTTGTGTTTTGCACTAGCGATATACAAAAGGCTTATAACAATGGTCCACAATAGTGTAAACTAATGGAATGAATGTTAATGTTTGTCAAGTTCTGTATACGAACTTTGTGTAAAAATTATTATTTATTTTTAAATGGGCAAATTGATGTACTGCAAAATACATACATAGTATAAACATTGTGTATGTATTTTGAAGTTGGTGCATTTGTAATTATATGTTATAACTATATTAAATATGTTATTTTAGATAATATACAATATATTATATAATATAATATATATATATATATATATATAAAATATATATATAATAAACATAGGCGTGTGCACGGGGTGTGCCGGGTGTGCCTGGGCACACCCTAATCCCCGCGGCATGCCTATGCATATTGAGACCGGCAGGGGAGATCTCAGGATCTCCCCTGCTGGCTCATGCAGAGCCGGCGCTATCCGAGCGCCGGCTCTCCTCTCAGCCTCCCTCCCCACTGACCCACATGCAGGGAGGGAGGCAGGAGAGGACCCGGCGGAGCTATTGCCGGCAGCTCCGCCGGGTTCCTCTCACGAGATATGAGCGTTGCCACGGCAACGCTCAAATCTTGCGAGAGTGAACTCTAGCCCCACAGGGGGCTAGAGTTCACTCTCCACTGGACCACCAGGGATGTAATCAGCAGCACGATCCCCCCTCCCTACAAAAGGTAAGAAGGGAGGGGGGATAGCAAGTCATGTACTCCACCCCCACAATCACCCACCCACATACAACACACACACAGACATACAGCACCCACATACATACAGCACACACATACATACAGCACACACAGACATACAGCACACATACAGCACCCACACACATACACAGCACCCACAGACATACAGCACCCACACACATACAGCACCCACAGACATACAGCACCCACAGACATACAGCACCCACACACATACAGCACCCACACACATACACAGCACCCACAGACATACAGCACCAACACACATACAGCACCCACAGACATACAGCACCCACAAACACAGCACCCACACACATACACACAGCACCCACAGACATACAGCACCCACAAACGCAGCACCCAAACACATACACAGCACCCACAGACATACAGCACCAACACACATACAGCACCCACAGACATACAGCACCCACATACATACAGCACCCACAGACATACACAGCACCCACACACATACAGCACCCACAGACATACACAGCACCCACAGACATACACAGCACACATACAGCACACACACACACATACAGCACCCTCACAAACACAAACAGCACCCTCACACACACACAGCACACTAACAATACCCTCACAAACACAAACAGGACCCTAACAAACACACACACAGCACACTACCAGTACCCTCACACACAAACAGCACCCTCACACACAGTACATTAACAGCACCCTCACAAGCGCGCGCACACACACACAAACAGCACCCTCACACACAGTACATTAACAGCATCCTCACAAGCATGCACACCGCGCACACACACACAAGCAGCACCCTCACACACAGTACATTAACAGCATCCTCACAAGCATGCACACGCAAACACCCTCACCACATAGCACACTACCAGCACCGTCACACACACATCACACTAACAGCACCCTCACACAGCAGTGTGTGTATATATGTGTATATATATATATATATATATATATATATATACACATACATACATACATACATACATACACATAATATATATATATATATATATATATAAATGCGGCGTGTGCTTGTGCTTTAGGGTGCACACCCTAATGCAATAGGCTGCGCACGCCTATGATAATAAACAAATATAGATTTGTTAAAAAAAAAAAAGTGTTTATTGAATAAAGACAACAATCAGTTTGCACTGATGCTAGAGGAGAAAGAGTGGAGTAATGACTGAACAAACATACTGAAAATGACAAAATAGCCCTGTGCACTAAGGGCAAAATAAAATATTCAGTAACCAGATTTAACCCTTTAAGGTCATAAGATGTACTGGTAACACCTAAGGTTCAAATAGTAATCTGTCTCCCTTCTATCAGCTGAAGCCAGGTTTATTCATAACGAATAACATTGTTCATTCACACCCTGGTGACATCATCACCAGGTTAAATCTTCAAACCCTGCTGCCTCATCAGTCAGTAACTGAGGATGGACTCTGTATACTGTGTGCAACCAAACAGTCAGAGTGTGAAACTTATATTGTGAAAGCTTGCTGATATATGAATCAATATCATAAAATGAGACATACTATGTTAATCTGCAATCTCACGTAGCACTCTCTTACAAGTAACTAGAGGTGAGATAAGGGTGGGGTGGGACATTTAAGGATTGTTTAGTTTTGGGGGTATTTAGGGTTATAGGATGCCTGCAGGGGTATGTTGCCTGCATTGAAGCCCTCCTATGCAGTATGATGTGCAGACTGTAGGGGAAGCGGACTACTTAAGGAGCAGCCCCATGAGGTTCGATGGAGCGAAGTGCGTGGTAAGTATAGCGCTCACGCTAGGGGCTAAATGCAAGCTAGGGTTAATGGCAGGGCAGTTCGTGCTGGCAGAAAGGCGTCATGAGCTCTGATTGGTAGATAGCAGCGCAAGGACCATTGTGGAGGGAAAAAAAGGGGTATAAATTAAAGGGCGCCAAAATTAATTGCCTCAGCTTGTGCCAGACAAATCTGAAGGTTGGCTGTATTTGAGCTGATGTTCCCACCCACCCTCCCCCTTTTGTATTACAGGAACCTATGTCGTGACCTTATTATGGGATATAAGTCGCGGATTTGGTTGAAGAGATATTTATGGCTCCTGGCTTTGGAGGGGGGCAGAGCCTTGGAAAGTGGTTATGGTTAATATGTTGGTTTGGTTTAAAGTTATGGTTTATTATTATTCATATGGCTATGGTATAATTGGAATTATAAAATCCGTAATAAAGGTTCACGGCCATTCTCCAAGGTGTATCATTAAAGTTATTAAATAAACATTTTGATTAAAAAATTTTGCTTGTGTTTATTTATGTATCACTTTGATTGCAACATTCAAACCTCATGCGTGGCTCATCCTTCTCTCACTTCCCCTGGGTAATGCATACCGAAGGAAGCAACAGCTCATTGAGGCTAAGAGGATATTATGTCATATCTCTGCCTCCTCCATCAATCAAGCTTCCTGGAGCAGTGCCTCTAGCATGAAGTGAGATTATACCACTACACCACTAAGGAAAAGAGATGGTATGGAAAGGGAAGACAAATGGGAAGTCATTAGATGGCAGGATGGGACAACAAAATGGGGGAGGGGGCATGAGAGGAAGTGGCAATGAAATGGGGAGACATGAGAGAGGAAGAAGAAGCAAAATGAAATTGACAGTACAATTACATGCTTAGCTATTTGGGTTGATATGCACATTAGTATGTTTTTGGCTCTTTGTTGTGTGTCTACAATTTGTGTATTTATATCCAAAACAATATGGTCAATGCATGCATGTGCAGCATGTTTGGTTTGTGCCTTTATGTATATGGCTGAATAGTTGTGTTAGTGACTATTGAGTATGAATATACAAACATTCTGTGGCATTACTTTCCTCTATCGAACCACACAGACATGCGCGGTATGACAGCTGCACGCGACCGACATCTATAAATAGTTATATAAATAGTTAATAGTTGTATATTTCTGTATCCTTGAACTTGATTCTCGCTATATTAATACGTTAAAGGGACACTCCAGCTCAATAAAGTGGTCTGGGTGCCAGGTCCCCCAGGTTTCAATGCTTCAGATGTAAACATAGCAGTTTCAGAGAAACTGCCAAGTTTACATTGCAGGGTTAATCCATCCTGTCTTCCTGACAGCCGCTAGAGGCGCTTCTGCGACGCTGGATGCGAAATTCGCATCCAGCTTGCAGAAAGTCCATAGGAAAGCATTGACAAATGTTTTCCTATGGACTGTTTGAATGCATGCGTACTCAGGAGCTGACGTCGGCAGTGGAGTAGAGGTCACCAGGAGGGGAGCCCTAAGGGTGGGGGGTCCTTGGGATGATATATTGTCAGGAAAACGAGTTTGTTTTCCTGACACTATAGTGAGCCTTTAAATCCTGCCACTTTTATGCTCGGTAATACACCTTTTAGATCCACCTTTTGTGGGTTTCCTCTTTCCTGCATGTTGGGGTACAACTCCTGTGACACATCCCAAGTTTCCTGGTAGTTCCAGGAGTCTCCTGCATATCATATGTAACACCCGCATACTATGTATGTCAGATTGCGTGTATTTGATTTACATCCATCCATTCCCCTTTATTCATCATCCCCAACACACACCACAACCCCTTTCACCCCCTACACACACCACAACCCCTATCACTCCCTACACACACCACAACCCCTATCACCCCCTATACACACCACAACCCCTATCACCCCCTACACACACCACAACCCCTATCACCCCCTATACACACCACAACCCCTATCACCCCCTACACACACTACAACCCCTATCACCCCATACACAACCTACAACCCCCATTACCCACTACAACCCCTATCACCCCATACACAACCTACAACCCCTATTACCCACTACAACCCTTATCACCCCATACCATTCCTACAACCCCTATTATCCCTACACATGCTACAACCCCTATTACCCCATACACAACCTACAACCCCTATTATCCCTACACATGCTACAACCCCTATTACCCCATACACAACCTACAACCTCTTTTACCCCCTACATATTCTACACCTGTTACCCACTTCAGCCTCCCTTGCACCCTCAATAGCTTATATTACCTCCTGCTTCCCTCTATTACCCCTTCCCCACTACAGCTCTTATAACAACTACATGCCCCTGTTCCACACATGCAAACCCGAGTTCACACACAAACTACATCCAAATATGGCCTTGCATGCAGACCCTCAATATAAATATGTCCCTGCACCAACACACTGATGTCATGGAGTATTCCTGACCATATAGTGTAAAAAAAGAAATACCATTTAGGTTACCGGCATCCCCTTGCCCCTTCTAAAAAGGTAATAAACTTACCTTTATTTCAGGGCCACACGGGTCCGCCGGAGGTGGCTCAGCCCATGCTCTGGCCCATTGACTGAGATAATCAGAATTATGAGACACTGAACATCAGTGCTGCACATTGTCTATCACTGACCTGAGAAGCACCTCTAGTGGCCGTCTGAGTGACTGACACGAGAGGTGTCCCTATGCAGCAATGTAAACACTGCCCTTTTCTGAAAAGGCAGGGTTTACATTAAAATGCCTGTAAGGACTGGCTATACATACCAGAACAACTCCATTAATCTGAAGTTGTTCTGGTGACTATAGTGTCCCTTTAAGGTGGCTCGTAACTTTAAGCACATGGTTAGTACTTCAAGACCCAAAATGTGGATGCCTGCATTGCTCATATAAACACATTGCCATGATTCACATACACACTTAAAGGACCACTGTAGGCACCCAGACCACTTCAACTCAATGAAGTGGTCTGGGTGCCAGGTCCATCTAGGGTTATCTCTGCAGCCTCAAGTGGCTGTCTCATTGACAGCCGCTAGAGGCGATTCCATGCTTCTCACTGTGAAAATCACAGTGAGAAGACGCTGCCGTCCATAGGAAAGCATTGAGAAATGCTTTCCTATGGACTGGATGCGTGTGCGGCTCTTGCTGCGCATGCGTATTCAGCGCTGACGTCAGAAGAGGGAGGAGAGTTTAACCCCTTCCTCACCCTTCAGCCCAGTGAGAGTGGGACCCAGAGGCTGCGGGGCACACAAAGACCCTATAGTGCCAGGAAAATTTGTTTGTTTTCCTGGCACTCTAGTGGGCCTATAAATACTACCCTATTTAAAAAAAAAATAGTTATATTACTCTGAATCCACACATCGTGGCACTAGACATAAACATACATATATTCACTTAAACCAAGGCTCACAGTGAATATACACACAAAACATACATTCACTTTACATGTACATATATAACCAAATACACCGTACATACACCATCTTATATACCAGCATATTATTATCATTGCCTTTTTATAGCAGCAACAGATTCCGTAGCGCATATATATTGGTCTGCCGGGGGCCCAGGTCC